ATTTTTGTTGACCTTTGTCCATGGAAGGTCCCTGCAAAATTTCATTGAAATTGGTTCAGGGGTTTTGGAGAAGAAGTCGAAAATGTAAATTGTTTACGGACGCACGACGGACGACGGACGACGACGGACAAAAGGCGATCGCAATAGGTCACTTGAGACTTTGTCTCAGGTGACCTAAAAACATCAAAAAATGAAACTATCTCATCAAATTTCATTTTTATCCTTTTGTTTTTCTTAAGATGTTTAACCTTACGCTAGAGTCTGCCTACCTTGATTCAGTAAGTCAAGAAAAATACTGAATAATTCAATTCAATCTTGATATTTCAATAAGCATTTATAACAGTTCAATTGACATACAAAATGTACTGGTAAGTATATGTGTAGGTGAAAGGACAAACTGTTAAAGGAAAGTAAATGAGTGTGACTATGAATAGATGTGTGGGTGAAGACACAGACACAATTATTAGGTGATATTTATTCATTACAAAGGAGCAGGGCTAATCTGATGACTTCACTTTCATAAGAAGAATACAAAGTGAGTGCATTAATAAGACATTATACAGTTTGGTGTAAGAATAAGAAACCTGGTACTCATCCACCCCTGGAGACACATTTGAACTCCTCCAATTCAAAGGTTGGAATAGTTCATTCTGAAATGTCGGTGGCGAATGAATTAAGGATGAGCCAGGTTCTGGTGGTGGAGGAAGTCCAGAGTATCGAGAGGAAGAACCATCGACCTACAGCCAGCACCTGGGGACTGACCCATGTAGGCCTTGAACCTGTGACCCAGTGGCTAACAACTTGACCACCACAGCCCTAGAAAGGCCTGGAGGTCTGAGAAATTTAATACGACTTCTCAATAAATAGCCAAGCAGCGAAAAGGTTTAAATGTATCAACACTTAGGTCATTAGATTTCACTAGCAAGTGTTACTTGTGTGTCTTAAATTCAGGAAAATTTTGTTTTACTGTAATCCTAATTGACCAACTTAATGTAGATAGTCCTGAGTACTATCAACATAATTCCCATCTATATAAAAACCATCCAGATAGAACAATTTTCACAAAAATGCATCTCGCATTACTTATCTGGATTTAAACAATCAAATTTTTGCATGAACTTCCATCCATTGTAAAATTTACTGAACTTGATATCTAAATTATTTCTGACAAGTGTGTCTTTCACAAAATTACATAAATTTAGCATGTTCAGATTTTTCCTTTTTTCTTATTTAGTCATTTTGAAGAGAAATTGATTCCCTTAGCTGTTTAAAGCATTTTGAGCAGTGAAGTTCGCACCAAATATTATGTACTCTACACAGACAGTATTGGAAAGACAAGTTATGGGTAGATACATGATATATATATACATAGAATGAATATTACAACCAATTACACATGGTATACAGATTTAGCACCCCATGTATTCCAAAACAAAACTGATCGACAGAATTACCTGTCACCTATTTTGTCTTTGGTTGTGCAAACAAATATGTGTTACATGTGTATGTCTCAGTCTGTACAATAAACAATAATTTGTTACCACTCAGTGGCAGCAAAAAATTACCTCTAAAACTACAATTCAAAGCAGACACAGAAGCAGGATTCGCTTTCAGCAACATTCCTTTAGATTCTCCATATAAAAACTTCACAGAAGTTCCGAAAAAATGTCTTCAAAGATTTTTCCTTAAGGAACAATGGTAAAATTTGAACCTGAGTTTGCTTGTTGAAACGTCTATTTGATGTATTTGTGGGAGAGTTCTCCTGTCACCTCAAACACATTACACTTTCTTCACATTCGAAAAGTAAGTACATATATCTGTACAACTGTATCTACTCTTTAGATGCTAGTCCATGCTTGGTAGCTATATAGCAGGTTACTGTTGACAAGCAAACTTAAAACCATGTTGTAAAATATACACAGAATTTCAAGTTCATCTGCAAAATCACAATTCTATCTAAACCTTACAAGAGACATTGTTTCAACTTGGATTCTGCTTAACTGAACAAAACAACAATTTCGCTTCACACTAAAATAAATACCCTGAGATTGCCATACACTTTAAATTTGTTCAAAGTCTGATAAAATCAACCCAATCATCATTATCCATGGTCCCCATTTCACAAATAGGGTTTGGTTAACACATGCTGCATTTACTTTAAAGCAAGTTTCAGAAGCTGGGAGTCAAATAAACAAATCATAGAGTGAAGGGGTTGAGATTTAAGAGATATTTCTATTTGCTATTAAAATATTTCTCCAATAAGTCAATGGTCTCAACAAAAAAGTCTGACTTAAAATTAGGGAATTGGACTGATTGCAGCACAATGAAATACATCTGTTTGAATTTATACTAAACTGCAATAAATATGGGTGGGCTTATTACCAGGCATGGGCTTATTGAGAGGTAAATAAAGTATTTTTATATCACAAAAAGTCAAATTTGATATGTTTCAACTTAATAAATGACCTCAGCAGAGAATCCAAAATAATACAATTGTAACAGATAGCATTATACTCTGTATGCTGGGATCAGTATATATGAAGACACTGTGTTAGCACTATTTCATACCAATCTGTACATGTCTGAAATTCATGAAGCTGACAAATCACTTTCATCAATAACCCAAAGACAAATTCCGTTCGCTAGAGTTAGTGTGATGAGAATACACTGTAGTTCTGATAAACACATATAACTGTCAATGTATCTTTTTTGTGTACTCATATTTTCACACATTAGCAACAATATCTAAGTTTAATAAATCATAATTTGCACTTCAGTTATTTATAACTAACTGGAGTAGTGATTTTGTATTTGGCAGTTATCATGATCATGATTAAGTGCTTTATCGCAAAAATATGATGAATGAAAAAAAATGGAAAGTTTACAGTATTTTATCATTAAAGACCATGTTATATAACTTTGTATTCTTCAGAGTAAATATACTATGGATAAAATTTGTGGCATTAAAAACAATGATATCTTGGAACCATTCTGAGTACAGTACTTGTTATGTATGTATTTTGTTTTAAAATTAACGTTAAAAAGTAAACAAGAATGCTGAGATCCTTCATAAACACTCCTACATGAAACTTTTATAAACATTTACAATAAAATCAAAAACAGGTTGTTTACATGCATGTTTTCAAATGATTGTATATGAACATTATACATGTACGGATACATGTAAAAATAAAAATCTGTAACACTTCCCGATACAGGGACACAAACTGAGAAACAAAACAGAAAAACAAACAAAAACTGGTGAAAAAAGCAGTCCTAAGCTTCTCCTGTATGCATGCACACATACAAATGTATTATGCATGTAGACTGTCTTTTAGTAAAAATTTAATATATCTGTACCAACTGCTATTTCACTGAATGAGTTTGATAAGTCAAAATAATGCAGTTCTTACAGCAGAAAAACTATCAGTTTTAATGACATCTATCTAAATTTGTTTATCTCAAAATAATGATCAGAATCGTTTAGAAATACATTTCATATTATCACAGAAAATCGATATCTCAAAAAATCTGTTTCAATTTGATTTATATGAGTTAAGGGAGATCATCCATTAACTTTATTTTCTTGTGCTTGTTTTAACTGCTTTTTCATATTTAAGGAACTTGATCATATCAAATAAATTATTGTTGGCTAACTTTTATTCTAATATATATTCACTAGTATCTACTTCACAGTCTAGGAAATTGCAAGTACCATACCTATAACATCGCAGCAAAAATGAACCCCTTCATTGCATAATTGTACTTAAATTTAATATTTTTCTCTTAATAGTTAGATTCAAGAATAAGTAGTTGATGAGTGATAACAATCAAACCGCTCAATGTGTTTCGTCTTTACAATTCTACAATTCAATACACCAATCTTAACATATCTATTATGTTCTGGACATATCTATTATGTTCTGGACATATCTATTATGTTCTGGCTCAGATAGCCAAATGGTCTAAGACAACAAAATGTCACTAGGTCTACAATGTTCATGCTGTGAGCACAATTGTCATCACCATATTTGATGTTATACGCCTCAATGGCAAATCTCATGCGACACCATTTTCTCACACACCCGAGGCTTTCTGCAAACAAGCAGCATGACAAGGCCCTGTGTCCACAAAAAAGAAGCACAAGGCCCTGTGCTTACAAAAGGCCCTGTTTTCACCACGAAAAGAGGTCATTCTCATGTACAAACTTTATCAAATTAAGCTCTCAATAAAATTTTCACATACCAAGCTTTCACAAGGTAAACAAAGAAAACGTAATTATGAAGGTCTTTTTTCATTTGATAACAGCATCAGTATGGTAAAATAGTAAATCCTTGTGAAAATCAAGACCTTGAATTTATTGCAGTGAGATTATTATTGATCTGTACAGGAGAATGTCCCATGCACCACAGACAAAACCTGATAAATTCTACCATGGTACAAACATGTTACTTAATGCCGTTTATGTGAATGAGGTGTCAGAGGTAAAATTGATCTATTGTTACACTGTCAGTATGGTGGGAACTGGTCATACAACCGAACAGCACTTGGTTTGGACCCTTGCCGGCTGTAAATTGGAGTTATGTCCCTTACAATACCCATTGTTCCTGTTGATGTCCATTTTGACCTTGACCTTGTGTCTGACTGTCCTTTCACGTATTCCATTCAGACAACAGTCTGTCGAACACACAAAATTGATATTTTCATTCTTCTTCACATTCAGCACCTTATTCTGGCCATGGTCTGCCAGTTTGCTGAAGTCCTGTGAAATGACATCCTGACGAATTTTGGCCGAGTTAAGCCGGTTGATGTGATCAGTTACTGCAGCCTGAGTGTCCAGCTTGTCATTATTAACCTTGACCTTGATCTCGTCCTCGTCACTGTCACTCTCATTGCGCTCCACAATGTATTTAAGGCTGTTTTTACTAGACACACTGTTCAGACTGAGGTTTGACAGGGCTGAATTGATACCTAGCTCCCCAATGTTTCGCCCCACAGACATCTGCAGGTTGTGGTGGTGGTAGTTCTGCCGTTTGTTGCCATAGTTACCTCCACCTCCATGCTTGCCATCTTTATTATTCCCACCACCTCCATTGCTATCATCATCCTTCTTGTTGTCATGGTGTCCTCCACCCCCTCCCCCTCCAAATCCTCGCCTGCCCCCAAGGTTGCCCCCACTGGGGCCAGAGGGGCCTCCATCAGTGTCACTAGAATGATCACTACTATCACGGCGATGCATGAATTTATGTTTAAGTTTGTCCTTGCGTGACCTTCCTTCAGTGTCGTCCGTATCACTAGCATCTGAGCTGCTACAGCTGGTGCCCCTCGTCCCCTTGCCACGCTTTTTGCGCGCGACATACTTCCTGACCACCTCTGGGGACGCTGCACTACGGTTGATTTGCATACGTGGGGAATGCAACTTTGACGGCACATAATCATCCTCCTCATCAGACTCGTGCTCCTCACAGATCTGATTCAGCAGTTGCGGAGAACTTGCCACAGAAATCAGAGGTCGTTTAGGGTTGAGTAAGTCCTTGTCCACACGTGTCAAAGACGTGTGCGAGCGACAGTAGTTGTCATCGAGACTCTCTGCAGACTTTGCCGACCTCAGATCCACCTCCATATCCATTTCGTCGCTGTCCTCTTCATCGTCAATGGACTCCTCTCTGATGAGGCTGTACTTGCGCATGGTGTTGCTTACCAGATGTTCAGGGCTCATACTCTGAGGAGGGGAGGTTGTGGTGAACGTCGGGTGTGTCCCGGGAGGCGATACTAAAGATGACACTATGCTGGTCTTTGGTCGACACTGCTCTGTTTTCTGGTCTTTGTCCTTCTGGTTACTGAAAACAAACAAAAACAACAGGTCATTAATACATCTGTCAAAAAAAAACACAAAAAAAACCAGTGATATTTTTCTTCATTAAATTACCGGATAATATAGCCCCTCACCAAGTACTTTCTGTAGTTATGAATAGACAACAGTTTTAGAACAAAATCAAACACTTCTCATCAATAAATTTACTTTTATTATCAGTGCTGAAACTACAGTATGATATGTAATGCAAGTACCATACTAACCAATCTTCATACATATCACTATAAATCAAAGCAACCTTCTCATTCACTCTGTAACACCTATTCTGATTTGATAAGAAAACATATTTTTTTATCAATTCACAAAAGCTTCGTTTTATACATGATCGCAATTACTGAGTTTTGATAAAAAAAAGAATATAAGTACTGGAATGTCCATGAAAGACTGCAGCGTAAATAGTATTAAAATCCAATATTTTCTGAACTGAAAATAGAAATTTCCTATTTCATTTTAAGGGAACAACATCAGAAAAAAATTATCACAAAAGTGACCTTAGCTTGTAATGATATAATCTGACCTGTCCTTTCATGGAAAACACTGTTACTGAAGAATCTATAATCTGCAACCAGAAAATGCTAAAGTGAACTAGAAATTGTTGGATAACAATTTGACGGGCTTTTCACTGTAAGGACTGATTTGGCCTTATAGCTATTTAAGAGTCATTTCCCTTACACCAGTAGTAAAAGTCCTTGTATCTTCGGAATTTGTTTCACAAAATTACATGTTCGAATTTGACCTATCCAATACCGGAAGTTGATCTTTGATGGTAATTTATGTCCATAAACCTTGTAGCCCATCATCATAGCATGCTACAGACCAAATATCAATACCCTGGGCATTTTCGTTAATGAGAATGAGTCTTTTGAAGATTTTTATATAATTGACCCTAGTGACCTTGAACATGGGTCAACGTCATTCATATTATCAAACTTGATAGTCAATTGCTTGAGCATGAATATTCAATAAATATTATGACAAAATTACACTTTCAAACTTTGACCCCTACCGAAAACCGGAAGCTGACATTTTTTGTTGAAACAGTATGAGAGAAAAAGGAATATATGTACCAATTGTGGTTAATATTGCAAAGGCAGATTTGGAGAAGAAGATCGTTGAAGTTTGTAAAAATCGTGTCGGCTTTTCAAAAAAGATCAAGGACAATAATGAACACGCCATAGGACGTTAACGGTAAATGTTACAGAAAAACTAAAGACACCAAATTCATTGGAATGACATTCTGCATTGATCTGTAAAAGATTTTTTCAAAAAAAAAAAAAAAATTGTGACCTTTTGACCCAACAGCAAGCTTTTTTATTTGACCTTTTTTGAGATAAAGCACTTACAAAAGTTAGCCCTGCAAATTATCTACATAAAATATGATTGCGTCAATTCTGTGAATTAAACCGTTTTTGAGTTATGGCCATTTTAAGAATTTGAGGTATGAGGTCATGGCAGCCATATTGGATTTTTGACCTACTTGAAAATGTTCCTGGAACATCTTCAGACCTTGGCCTACAACATACTTAAAAGACTATAACCTATCCTTTACCAATCAAAAGATAGAGACTCCACAAAAATTGGCAGAAGAATAATAATAATAAGAAGAAACAACAAAAACAATAGGTCTTTTCACCAGTTGGTGAAAAGCCCTAATTAGGAAGGGGACATCCCTACTGTATTTTGAGAATTGTATCAGAGCAGTGTGATTAAACTGTCACAAATACCTGTTTTACTGGCTCTTTATCACTCATTCATCCCTGAAGACACATTTGAGCTCATCCAATTCAAAGGTTGGAATAGTTCATTATGAAATTTCAGGGGTGAATGAGTTAAACTCAATTTGTGAAAGTACAATCACAATATACTGCTGCAAATTTCAAAGCAAAGTAGTTTACTTATAAACTCTAAAAAGAAATATTATGGAATTAATTATTGACACTTTCATATGTGTGCGAAAGACAGAGATATCCCATCCAAAAGCTACCAATTCAGAGCTATCCCTTCTGCCTTGAAGAAAGTGAAACAAAGAGCTATCCCTTCTGCCTTGAAGAAAGTGAAAAAAAAAGCCCAAGTTATGAGGAATTACAGCAATATCCGTAGCTCTGCTGTGTGTTTTACCTTCTAACTCATCACCCCTAAATATTAAAGTATTCTCAGTCACAGCCATCGTCAGATTATATCGCTTGTCATATCATTTTCTATTGTGACCTTTCAAGGGCCACCCACACATAAAACACCACATAAAGCAAAGACGTATTAAGACCCTTTTTTACATACTGGGTGTGATATCTCTATCTTGCACACAAATGTATAAAAGAAATATTGTCAAGCTAAATACCACACCGCTGGAATGTGTCTGGACAACTGTGTATCTACCATCAGACATTAAAAGCAAATTTGGCCTGTATTAGTGTTTAGCTAAATCTATGTACTGGTACGTTTAAGCTCATCACAACGTATGCTGAACAAGTGTTAAAGCTGAAATCTACAAGCACATGATCCCTACAACATATATTTGCCTAAGCTTAAACGCTAAACAAGAGGCCCAAGAGGGCCTGTATCGCTCACCTGAATATTTAAGCAGTCATAGAAAAAATATTCTCATTAAATATTATAGTGCACTAAAAATATTTCCCTCACAAACTTTGTTGGCTCCATCTGTTGAAACTACCAGCAAAATATTATTACAAGATTCTATGCTTTTTGATTCTTCAGAAGTTGCTTGACATATTTTTCCCTGTGACCTTGTAAATAGGTCAATGTCATTTTCCTTCTCAAATTGGTAAGCTCTATTCCAAAAGCTACCAGCCAAATCTTATGAATCCATTCCTTTTAGTTCTCAAGAACAAATCCATTAAAATGTTGTTGACCTCTGTGACCTTGAAAGTAGGTCAAGGTAACTTTCATTCGCAAACTTTGTCGGGCTCTTTCCTAGGAAGCTACAAGCCAAATATAAAGATTCTATACCTCTCAGTTGTTCAGAAGTCGTTTGAAGTGTCTGACACATTTGACCCCTGTGACCTTGAAAGAAGGTCAAGGTCATTTTCTTCCTCAAACTTTGTCGGGCTCTATCCCAGGAAGCCATCAATCAAATATAAAGATTCTATACCTCTCAGTTCTTCAGAAGAATTAATTTGAAGCCTTTGACACATTTGACCCCTGTGACCTTTAAAGTAGGTCAAGGTCATTTTCGTTCTCAAACTTTGTAGGGCTCCTACAAAAAAGCTTTCAGCCAAATATCATGACTCTAGGCCTATCCGTTCTTCAGAAAAAGTTGTTTAAAGGAAAAGTTGACGGACGAGGACGGACGGACGACGGACGCCGCACCACGACATAAGCTCACTTGCCCTTTGGGCAGGTGAGCTAAAAAAGTCTACCTGAAAGCTACTAGGTCATGAACACCACGCGCACTAACAAAGTCAAATTTGAACACTACCAGCTCAATAATACTGTTACCTTGATTTAATCTGATAATCTGAACAAGTGTACCTAAATTTTAAAGCTTAATGCTACGGAGTATGAGCAAGCGTAAGCAAAACTAGACCATCCTTCCATAGATGGCTTTAAAATGTTGTCTTTGTTTTTTCTTCCATTTCAATGATTTGGTATATCAAATATGAATATAAAGTACTATCGACATTATACTGCGGAAAACTTAGGGCAATCATGCGACAGTTCACCTATGGCTATAGTCTAGGACAATAGGTCAATTGTCTATATTATGCTAATGATCATATTACAAAGCTTTTATGAAACTTTTAATTATTGTATACATGTATATAAACAATCAGGCAATGATTGAAATTTCAATGAAAAACTAGTAAAAGAATCAAAATAAAAGTTATACATTAATTCCTAAATTGAAAAGTCAATAAATTTATATAATATGGTTTGGGAACTTTCGGAAAACTTCAGAAATTATGCAGCATGTTTTTTCTTACTTTCAACTATGCTTGAAAGTGTAGTATAAATCTTCATTAAAACTGGTTTATTTTAAGATAATTTGTAACTTGCAATGTAGAAATGCTGTTTAATGATCATTGTGTTCTGTGTTCAATGAAAGATAATACTAATGTTAAGTTTCAAAGATTCCCAAAATATTATTTACTTACTAAAACTTATAACACACAACCTTAATTTTTCTAAAGGCTCAGCTCTCATAATCAATAATAATCCTATGTTGAGATTGATAATCGATTATGAAAACAAAACAAATTCCATCATTTTAAATACATGTATACATACAATATTGGGTCAGGCAGACGTGTGTAACACATATAACTGTAGACAAGAGATCCCAGAAAGATCTTGGCGCCCACCTTTGTACCATCTTCATTAGTTCTTTGTCAGTTCGATCTTTTCTCTTCTTTCCTCTAATCTGTTTGATCGAGTCATGTCAACAGTAAATGCACCTTGAGGTAACTTTTGATCTAAACTTAATACTGATGTGTATGAAAGCCAACCTTCAAAGTGAGTTTGTCATTTCACATATTTACTAGTACAGTACTTAATGTGAAAGAAATAGAACCGATCATTGCAATATGAGAAAGATCTGTTTAGTTCTTCTTTTAATCCATTTTGTTTTTATGATCAGTCTCAAAATATAACATACACAACGAGGGATCAAGGGGAACCTACATTTAAAATTTGAGAAAGATCCCTCCCGTACTTCCCGAGAAATAGCGATAACAAACTTTCACTATCAAAATCCAAGATGGCTGCCTGTCGGCCATGTTGTTTATCCGATCAGTCTCAAAAGTTGCCCTGCACAGCTAAGGACCAAGGGGAACCTACATATAAAATTTGAGAAAGATCCCTTTGGTACTTCTTGAGAAATACCGATAACAAAGAATTGTTTACGTACGGACGACGGACAACAGACGGATGACGGACCACGGACGCAGGGTGATTTGAATAGCGTACCATCAGATGATGGTGGGCTAAAAAGACACGTTACAATTACAAATGTACTAATATGTGTTGACGGTGGGGGAAAATGCGTTCAAAAAAATTAAATAGTACCCCAACCTGAATAATTAAATAAAACCCAGTTACTGCTGTTTTAAAGTAACCAAGGCAAACTCACAATAGTCTCTCTAATCAAATAAGACTGGCTTAAATGTCACAAATAATATCAACATTTGATTATCTTGTTTCAGAAAATTAAACATTAAAAAAAGTTTTGTTTTCATAAAAAAGTTGTAATAGTTGAACTACATCTCTATTTGAAATTTTGGCGATTGGTAATTGTCCCAGGGATAAAAAAAAAATAGCACTGATTTCTTGGGGGTAAAACTTTCAACTTAAAATGTTGTCAGCAAACAAATATTTTCTATCAATGAACAGTCCATATTTCTTAATGTACAAATGTTTCCTATTTCATCAGATTTCTTGTAATTTAAAAAAATGTGAAGTTTGGAATTTTATTATATTCTTGATGATTAAAAAAGACTATTTCAGATAAAGTGAATAAATATATTGTTATAAATTTCATAAATGGACCTAGTACAATGACAAAATATTATTTGAGACACATCTGTCCAAGCTTATGCTGTTGGTACAACCCCCNCCCCCCCCGATATCATCGCAAGATGAAAGAAACCCTATAATAAGACATGCATTAGAGATTGTAATTCATGCCAAATATAAAAGAGTTGTCAAATTCAAATACATATTTGTAAGACCTATGCATGCATTTCGGTGTGTATGACGTTGAAGTCATAGAGAAAACATTAAAACCATACAAAATGGAACTCCACAAAACCAAACTGTGTCAGGATAAAGCATTAAATGGATTTACCAAAGACATGGTTCCCCTTCTAGCTGTGAACAGGCACAGATAGGCTGTGTCACTATACCTCGCTGTTTGACCCTTATGAAAATGAACATTACACAGGTGTTAATTATATAACTTTCTAGCATGATTATCAACAATTACACACATGCTGTTAGGCTAGATACAGTCCTTACACCCCAAGTAATACACAGCTTCAACAGCCGGGTAATACTGCTCCAACAAATAGAACCAATATATACATCAGGCTCAAACATATAGGCAATATTCCACTCTTACAGATAGGCAATATGCTGCTCTTAGGCATATATAAATATATGACTCCAACAGTTAGGCAATATATTGCTCTACAACAGCTTGCAATATAAAGTCCAACAGCTAGGCAATATATGTCTCCAACAGTTAGGCAATATACTGCTTCAACAGCTAGAGCCAATATACAGGTCCAAAATACAGACAATATCTTACAGATAGACCATATACAGCTGCAACAGCTAGGCAATATATGGCTCCAACAGCTAAGCAACACATATCCCCAACAGCCAGGCAATATACTATTCCACAACAGCTAGGCAGTATACAGTCCAACAGTTAGGCAATATACCACTATAGCAGCTAGGCAATATACTGTTCTAACTAATTTTGAATTTCACCTTTCTGAAATTCCCACATGAAACCTAAAAAAAAATATTTAAAAAAAAAAAAAAAAAAAAAAAATTTAAAAAAAAAAAAAAAAAAAAATAATTCTAAAATGAATAATTTCAATCATATCATAAATTTAAGATTAAACAGTAATTACCAAAAAATTAACTCAATTCAAACATACAAGTATTCAAATTATGACAAGACTACCTGGTATTTTGTTTTACTTTGATTAAAAACTCTCTTTGCATGAATGATACAAAAACACGAATGCCAAAGGCATGTATATATTGGCCCACTATTTATTATGATAATAGGTCTAGAATTTGAAGAAAATTAAAAAAAAAAGTGTCTTTAAAAATCTTGAGAACATGTCAAGATTTAGTAGCTATATGCTACCTTATACAATTATGGACTTTTGTGCTGGTGAATATGATGTGATATGAACCTCATATTTACCAGCACAAAAGTCCATAACTGTTTTATTATATGCTTCAAGAACAAAATAAAACAAAACAAAACTCAAGGTTCTGATTTTTGTACGCGAGCCTCCGTGTAAAATTTAGCCAGGTGTGAATTCAACAGTTCAGCATCGTAGCTTTTGAAGACATTGTCTAGGTTGTTTTTCTTAAGACAAGCATGCATGGAGGACATGCACTGTGTGTTCAGTGGCCATTTTTATGTTAACAGCATCTTTATCCTCGAATAGCTTTGGTAAGGACTATGTATGGTTTGGGCCGCCAAATGCATCAAAATTCAAAACCTTTAAATGAACTTTGAAATGACTGTTTCTTTAATTTCGAATACTTCCTAAATACTCTTATGAAAATATTTATTTATATTTCTAATTATTGTTGCCATGGTAACAAGTTCAAATTTGCATAAATTAGAAGAAAAAAATGAATATTCAGTAAATATTGGGATATTTTGCATAGTTTTTCTCCTAGAAACTATAGAGAGCATGCTTTAACAACCTTAATATCAAAGGATAATAGGTAGGCATCTGTAATACATCTTTAGGAGAAATATAAAGTTTGTTCAAGAGTGCGCTCTATGGTAGCTAAGAGAAAAACTAGGTGAAAACCTGTCAAAATTGACTAAATAATCAAATTTCAATAATTTATGCAAATATGACCTGGTTACCATGGCAGCCAAAATTGAAAACACAAATAAATATATACATAAAAGTACTGGGGAAGTATTCAAAATTAAAGAACCATTAGTTTGAAAGTTCAATTGCAGATTTTTAATTTTGAAGGATATGGGGGCCAAAAAAGGCCCAAACCATACAAAGTCCTTTCTGATGTAACGTAGGAGAAATGTTCGCCAGCAGCCATCTTCTATTGTCGTCTGACAGATCGCGTTCCGGTCTAACTGCGCATGCGCTACGACAGGTTCCGGGGAATATCCATATAGGCTATAACCAGTCTACATGAGTTTTTGAGGACTGGTCACGTGTATATGATCCGACCAATGTGATTGCAAGAAATTTTCGTGCATATAATACAGGTGATTTGTAGAAGAATATAAAATCGTTGTAAACTTCTCTAAACATTCAGAATATGAATGCATTCTGGAAAATCTTTCAAAAATGTCAGCAAATTATACATCATTATTCCAAAAGGAAACTTGAAAGGTTTCACATTGTGGAATGAAACCATCAACACAAGGTAACCTACTTCTGATAAAATAATATACAATTGTACTTATATGGAATACACTTGTATGTACTGCAAGGAACAGTAGCACTTGGATACACTAGCTGTAAATAGCAAAGTTTTATCGAAAACATCTTTCACATGTACACATGTCGAATAAAAAGGAACTAATTTTCAGAATGATATTCATTAGTTTGGTATCGATTATAAACACTAAGTTTGTTTTTAACACAAACAGTAATTGAAAAAAAAAAATCAAGCTTTCGAAAACATCTGTTCCCTTGGTTTTTTGTTTAGGATTTAACGTCCTCGCAACAGCCAGGGTCATACGAGAACGGGTGTCTAGGGAGACACAACAGCCAGGGTCATACGAGAACGGGTGTCTAGGGAGACACAACAGCCAGGGTCATACGAGAACGGGTGCTTCCTTTGTAAAGCAAAGAGTGCAAATCACTGCTGTCTCACCTATAAACCGCTGAAAATAACTCGCTGAGCCACAATGTGCGGAGTCAGTAAATACAGCTGTCAGAAAATATCAAGAACTAATTTTATAAAGCATTTTAAATCCAATACTTACATCATAATTACAAAAGAAAGAGACAGCATCGAAAAGTTTTGGCATACGTTTCCAGTATGGACTGTACACTTGCATGATGGAATCAGTACTATCTACACCTTGACCTTACAAGGACCAGTTACATAAACATCCTCTGGATGGTTGGTTAAGACACTTGTAACTTATTCACCACATGCAGAGCAGGACCCAGCCACAGATTAAGAGGACAGAGGGTGAAGTCTTGGTGACAGTAGAACATGCAATATGATGTTAGATCCTCTGTCTACACAGCCAGGAGTAAAGATTCCAAGATGATATCTCTTGATGATACTCCAAATTATAAACAAGTACAGACCATTGAGAAAATCTGAGCGAAAAGAAAGACAATTCTAAAACAAATAAAGAAATAATTTCAATCTAGGATGTAATGGGATAGACATGGCATTCTCTTCCAACAACTTGAATCAGAGGACATCAGAGGTTCATGCTTTTTCTTAGATGGACAAATCCCTAGGTAGATGCATTTGGTTGGTTCTGATGAAGATCTGTACATTACTTCGGCCATCTGACCAATGGTAAGTCACTATACTACAAGTAAAGACACAGACTGTCACTGAAGGGTTAGTTTGGGGTAACAATCAGGATGCAAAACGTGCTGTTAGTTCAGGAGGTTGCCTTGCTGTGAGACAGATGGACTATCAAACCAACACCACTATTGTCACAACGGTGGGTACTGCAGGCAGGACACCATGCCATAATTACTTCTTGTGATGTCTCCAAATCCGATTGTGCAGATCTCGCATTTTGTCTAACCCTCCACTCTTGCCCTTTGATGACACTTTCCTCTCGAAGAATGACTTGAGTATCTGGATCTTGGATATGGGAACAAATTTTTTCGGTGCTGGTTGGACGTCTGGGATCTGCTCGGCAGTGTTACTTGTCTGGCAGCTGTCCATGATGGTACCAAGGGAGGGCAAGAATTTCCGTAGACCCACCTTAGGGCTGACACTACAGGACCTGTCAGGCGAGATGAGTCCCAACTGGTCAGGCTGATTGTGCCTGTTCTTTGAGTGAGCAGACTTTCGGTCCAAGGTCATACTCGTCGTCAGGCTCTTTACAAAGTAGTTGGCGCGTAGATCTCCACTAACGATTGGTGGACTGGGAGGAATCTCCAAAGTAGGGCTTAGAAAAGCACCCAATGGAGTTGTCCTGGTTTTTTTGGCTTCAAGCTGCAATCTTCAGAAACAGAAAGAGCGAAGTAGATGCAACAGCAAAAACTAAAAGCATGAGATATAGATCAGCATATGTCTGATATAAGAAATACATGTTATCTACGAAATAATTCAGTCTCAATCAAGATACATGTATGGCAATTATAATTTTACATGAAATTTTCAGTGGGAAACAAAGGCTAGTGGTCATATCAATGGCAGCAAAACCAGGTAAGCAAAGTGACTGTTTGTTTCCCAGTGTTCGAAATATTTGTTTTAGATCAAGTGATTGTCTGCAATACATGTAGGAATCAGTGACTGCTGTAGTCCATACTACGGGTGAGTGGTGAGCTATGGGTATGATACTTCATTTAAGTTTAAAGGAAAATTTTGCAAACAAAAACAAAACAAAATATTCGAAAGAGAGTAATATTTGCAAAAGTTGTTTTGCTAATTATATCTTTATTTGATGTAATTTATTTAAAAATCATTTGAGAATTAAAATGTGAAATCTAATAATGAAAACCATGAACATTGAGGGGAAAACTTTCCAAAATAACATTAATATAATCTTATACGAGAAAACATATGTACTTTGAAGAACCTATCTGAGATTTATACCTGAAGACAACAGAACCAATGAAAGAAACATTGGAAAGAAACTGCGATAGAAACCCTCATAATATAGTAAATTTGCCCCAGTCCGATATTATTTTCTAATTTGCATATGGATTCTGCATGGTCATCTTACAAAAAATATCTATATATTTTCAACTTTGAGATATTCGTCAAAAATCAGATTTGGAAAAGTTTGCAACTCATTACCTAAATCAGCCTTTCAATAAAAGTTAAATAGACATCCTAAAGTTGCAATAAAATTGGGACTAGAAATTGGATCATAATTAATATGTATAAGTAAAAACATATATTTATAAAATCAACAATACCCAATAAATTAAAAGATATTCTTTGTTTCATAAATGTGCAAAATGTGTGGAATGAAAAATTCTGGCTGCAGGGTTTCCATCTTCAATTAGGCATGAAAGGAAGCTTATGTATGGCATCACATATACTTATTTATGAAATGGTTTGTGGTTGGACTATGTCTGCTTATGATAAGAAAAGTGCTGTTCTCTAGAGTAAAACCACACACACCACTTCAACGGGATAGGGACTTCTTAGCAAAAACTGTGTGATATGCTGAGAAACTTTCATGTATATATCCAAACTTCTGACACGAGCTGTAGGCTGAGATTTGCTGAGTGACTGGCACGGGCAAATACATGTATCACAGCACATCAAAGAAATCAAAACTCTCAAGACTGGAAAACTTAAACGTTTCAAAATCGAATTGCTAAAACTAGTAAGAGAACAAAATATTGACAGATGAAGCAAAATTTCCCAGCTCGGAGTATAACATGTCAAAAAAAGTTCTTAAAAGATTTTTAACAATATAAGAATTAACATTTCAAAATCTAGATACACAAACAGGTAGGAATATGAAATATTGACAGATTAATTCAATTTAATTTCCCATCTGAAATGTTTAACATGTCAAAAAATGTTCTCGAAAGATATCTCCATATGAATAACTAGAAAATTCTAGAGCATCAAGACCCAAAACTAGCAAATCCATCACCGAAAGGCAATTGTGCTATATTATCTGGCAATGGGAAGAAAGCAATAACCAGGTGTAAGGGAGATAATCAAGTGCTACACAATGTAGGGTGGCAGGCCTCTATACATTTCATGGCAGCTTATTTAACAGGCATGATTTCATGAGAAAAGCAAGACGTACAGGAATGGTTCTTTACCATCAGCTAAGTGTTCCTCAAGTTCCTGGAGCCTGAAATTATCACGTCACCATGCATTTCCACATTAAAATAGTGTACCTCTCATCGCAGTTCTGACCAAACGTCACCTTACTTCATAAATTAAAATATTCTATACCAAACTCAAGGCTGCTCGCTTAATATCATACACCAATTACTATTGTCTCTAAGCTTTTCATCTCTACATTGCTTTTCAAGAGACTGTTTATTTTGATGAGTAAAATTGTCATTGTGATGTCACAGTTTAGGTGCACAAAAATTGATGACATCATCATGAACCCCTGAAGATTTGAAAGGCTTTGAGACATTTAATATCACTGCTTTTGTTTTACATTATGATCGTATTTCTTTGTATTACTATAAGTATGTGAAAGAAAGGTGTTGTAATTACTCAAACAATTCACAAGTGAGCTTATAAGGTAATCATTTGCATGTGGCAAACAATTCAAAATGATAAATCTTCAAATTTCATTTAAAAAATATCTGTAAATGTCCTATCTTTTTCCCTAAACTGCAAACATATCCTAGTTTAACACACGACTAATATTCTATAAGAAGTATATAATTATTAATTGGGTTTTACACTGAAAAGTGTATGAAATATCTTATCAAAACTGTGAAAGTGAAAACATATTGCATTTGTGCAGGCTTTGGGGTGTAAAAATGTCTGCCATATCTATATGTACACTAAAAGGTGAGGTTTGTTTTAATTTCTTTTCTTTTTAAATCTGCCAATATATGCTCTTACTTTTTATCTGCTTCAATCATCCTGATTCTTGATAAGTATCAATAGTTTTAAAGACTATTTACTTGATTCGGTTTGTATAAAATTTATAGCACAGGGCTTGTTAGATTTGATATATATATAAACACGGTAAAGAAGAATCTCTTTTATATATATTTACATTATGAAAAGCTCCAAATAGGCTTTTGCTAAAATCTTGTATATAAAATCAATTGAAATGGATCTTTTCTTTTCCTGATGTTCTGTTTAGGATAACTTAACTCTTTCCATACTGCAAATCCGGTCCGGATTCCATCCTTACTAGACTCACCCACTTTACCGCGCAAATAACAAAATGGCAGATTATTAATGTTTTTTTTAGACGAGGTGTAATTGCTGCAAGAATTTAACAGGTAACCGTGAACAAATATTGTTTTTGTTATATGTCGTTTATAGACACACACTTCTTCATTTTCGCAGCATAATGACTAACTGGCAGCTAATTATGACAGAAAAATTGACATCTGTTCGGCAACAAACGATACAAAACCTTGTTTTTACAACAGCGTTGTAGTGGAGATTCCTAATAGGAATTGATTATTGTTTAGGAATACAAAGTAGTTAGTTTTTTTTTCTAATTACGGATAGATTTCATTAAGACTTATATTGAAATTTTCATATTTACTTCCATAAGTCTTAATAAATAGTTGGTGATGATTTTACGATTGTTCATATCAAATTAATTTGCCGCCATATTGTTTATATTTGAATCACCAAACGCAAACATCTTGCGTCAGATTTGAAAACAATACGTCACAAAATATAAATTGTGTACTCCGCACCTATAAAACTATTTCTTTCCAACTGAAGGGTGCTGATTTTAGCGACAAATAATTGTATTACGCGATTGTCGTGTGCAATTACCAGCTGAACATACGACAAGTTTCTGTTGTCGTGTGTACAAGACACGGGGACCAGGATGACATATTGTTGTCATGTGTACACGACAACGGTACTGACAGAGTTAAGAAATCAGTGATGCCATATATATGGCACTCTAGGCGCAAAAGGGCTGATTCTGTCGACACCAGATGGCGCCCTGGAGATCAGAGAGTAGGTTTAGTTGATGCTATATAGCACCTTGGAGACCAGAGAGTAGATTTAGTTGATGCTATATAGCACCCTGGAGACCAGAGAGTTGGTTTAGTTGATGCTATATATAGCACCCTGGAGATCAGAGAGTTGGTTAGTTGATGCTATATAGTACCCTGGAGACCAGAGAGTAGATTTAGTTGATGCTATATAGCACCCTGGAGATCAGAGAGTTGGTTAGTTGATGCTATATAGTACCCTAGGCCTGGAGACCAGAGAGTAGATTTAGTTGATACTATATAGCACCCTGGAGATCAGAGAGTTGGTTAGTTGATGCTATATAGTACCCTAGGCCTGGAGACCAGAGAGTAGATTTAGTTGATACTATATAGCACCCTGGAGATCAGAGAGTAGGTTTAGTTGATGCCGTATAGCACTCTGGAGATAAGAAAATTTGTTTAGTTGATGCTATATAGCACCCTGGAAACCAGAGAGTTGGTTTAGTTGATGCTATATAGCACCATGAGGACCAGAGAGTTGGTCTAGTTGATGCTATATAGCACCCTGAGGACCAGAGAGTTGGTTTAGTTGATGCTATATGGCACCATGGAGATCAGAGAGTTGGTTAGTTGATGCTATATAGCACCCTAAGGACCAGAGAGTTGGTTAGTTGATGCTATATAGCACCCTAAAGACCAGAGAGTTGGTAAGTTGATCTGAGGACCAGAGAGTTGGTTTAGTTAATGCTATATAGCACCCTGGGGTTCAGAAAGCTGACTTTATTAACACCATATAGTGTCAATTGAACTAAAAGTGTTGCAAGAAAAATACAGCCTAAAATTCAAACATCCGCAAAACAGTGGCATTCTTTTACAATTCAAAACATGGCACCTCATTCACAGCTAGTAAGTCATTCCAATATTCAGAGTATAAATATGAAAAGATTACACCAAAGCTAACACTTTCCTGATCCCTACCCTGACATGTCGGCAGTGTGTCACTACACTATTTGCCAAGGGGTGGGGCGCTACCTACCGAGGGGACAGTGCGAGTGGCTCCAGGTAAGGTCTGCTGTGACCGTGTGAGGCTGGTGCCGAGTGCTTCCGTATTACCGAGGCGTTGTGTTGCTCCTGGTGTTGTCGCTTGAGTTTGCGCTCTGCCAGAAGGTAAAATGTGGCTGCTATATGGTCGTACATGTCTTTTTCTAATGATCTGAAATAGAACCAGTTTATTTGTTTGCATACTGAAAAAAAATCAATTGTACAAATATCTCAAATACTTCCTGCTTTGAAATTGATATTTTAGTACTGCCAGTTGCATATTTAACATGAATAGTTATTTCCACAACTGTTTTTCCAAGTAAATACTTTTGGGACTTTTTATTACTTTCTTACCAGTGAAATACAAGGTTTGACAGTGAAATTACTTAATTAGATGTTTTTCTAGGGCCAAGTGAGCTAAAAATGGGCATTTGTAATTGTGATGTCATAGTAACCCTGAAATATTCTTATTGTGACATCATAAGGCAGAGGATGGAATATGTTCACATAAACTCATGATTCGATAAAGAATAACATTATAAATGGAGCCAACATTTTTCGCCAAAAAACAGTTAACTTTCACTCAAGGGTTGAATATTTCTTATACACACTCGAGAAAAATATTCTCCCCACTCCTGATAGGTAACAGTTATTCATCAAAAGGCTAGGAATCACCACTATGTATGTTTGATGGCATCAGTTGACATGGGACCTATGACCTACTGTAAGATTTCCTCCTTGGTTGCAATGTTGCCCTCCACCATTTTGTTAACGAGGTAGTTGTGGTCTTCCTCACACAGATGTTCGTGCAAGATAAGTGGCATCATCCGCAATGTTGTGGAATCAGAGGACTTGAGCCAGGCATGGTCGACTATGTCGTCCAGTGACATACGATCAGCCGGGTCCTTCTGTAGCATCTTGGTGATGAGACTGGAAAACACAAACAAGGTAAATATTAATACATGCATGAGTAGAAAGGAACATAACTCTTTGTTTCATATATATACAAAAGCACAACTAATGTAACTGATTTTTCGAGACATGCAGATTTCTTTTTACAATAGCTTTTGTTGAGTTTGTATGTATCGGAACTCAATTTAAAACAAGCTTCAAGATGAACTTGATTTACACTTGAATATCTGTAGGTTCTTCCAAGGCTGCATCTACTATGTTTATATTTTTTTAATTATTTTTTTGCTGTTTTGGGAATGGATTCTGTGGCATTGGAATTAGGAAAAGCATATTTTGCAGTAATGCAAATAAGGAATTTTTAGTATTACATATATATTATATATAACAAGGCAAGGGTAGGAGCCAACACCGTGGTTTTCTTAATGGTGGAATAATTTGGTCCTTTGCTCCTCGTCTGGATACCCGAAAGTATGCAGGGGATTGAGTAAAAGTGAGAACATCATAAAATAGATTCAATCACAACAGGCGAAGGAGCAATAAGTTATTCTTGTAATTTATTAGAAATGTCGACCGGTTTCGCCCCTACAATATTATATATAGATTTTTCCTTCTCAAACAAAATGTCATATGAACACTTAAAACACTCTTATTTAGGACAATATCATTTCATTTAAATGCATACATTGTCCTCTAATTATATAATTACAAGCTGAAAATAAAAACACAATACCTAAAATGTGAAAGTTTGAACAGAATTTGGAATAAGAATAGCACAACAGGAATAAAGGCAAAAACCCCTTGAATCCCCAAAATAGCCCCAGGAAGGCTCTGTCATGGTAAATGTGATTTAGTATCAAACAAATATGCAGTGATATTTTCCAACTTTTCTGAAGAAAATAAATGTACAAATGTACTAGAATACTGCATCCAAGTTCCCTGAAGACATGGTCAACATGTTAATGTCCCAAAGTTCTGGTTACTAGTTGTAACTGGAATACGGTGAGCTTGACTTCTGTTGCTGATTTTAAATGTACCGGTACCTATCACATATGGTCAGCTTGACCCCTGGTGTATGAACTAGTGAAGACTGATGTACTGATATTTACTGTACTAGCACAATATATATAAAGTATATATATATGTAGAACTGTTATGAACAATTAAATACCTTTAAAAGTTGTTGATAAAACATCATATTTGTCACAATAATGTGAAAACTACGTGCTTAGGAAGTGATTTCTTCACTAATCGATCATATCTGTAGAAAATGGTTGCTACAACAGCAGACTTGAAGAGCTGCTGTTTGAAACATACCAGTGATCAATATATAGATTGGCCTATATAGCTATATACCCACTTCAATCAGTTCAATCAAGCAAGTCCTGATTTAATTTACTACCGGGACTTCCAGATTGGGTGTCAATCAATGTTGTTCACAGTAGGCATATACCGTATGTGTTTGTGATCAGAAAGAACTTATTCTTTAAGCTATATACACATACTATGTAACACAAAGTAATGAAGAATTAACTTCTGCAATTAATTGGCATCCTTAAAAATACGGTAACATCAAAGATATTCAGCTATGAATAGAATCTGATGCAACATTATATTTTTTAAATACATCAAGTTCAAACTTTAATCTTTTTGTATTGAATAATGCAATGTTTCAAGATGTTCATGGGGGAGGATCGGGACATGTGCGGCTGCCAGTAACAAAAATTCCATAATTATGCTGTAGAGGACTCTCCTGATTTCTCCTGAGTCAATAAAGATAAGGATGAATATTTGAGGATCCTTTCTCCAAAACAGGCAGACTTGCCTGTTTGCTGGATAACGGACTAATAAAATCTTTTACCTGTAACTGAGCGAGATCGGATCATCTCAGTCGAGGGTTAAGGTTCTGTAACAAAATCCCAACCGAGGAGTAAGCCGAGGTTGGGATGTTATAGAATCTTAGCCCGAGACTGAGATAACCTGATCTTGCTCAGTTACAGGCCTAGGTAATTGAATTTTTTTCTCGCACCTTTTAGCTCAATTTTTTTTCTATTGCTAAAAGCTAGAAGTAACCCGCCTTTGGCCTTAAATGATAATGACCTCTTCACTACTCTAGCTACATTTGAATGCTTCCAAATAAAAATGTAGTCCGTCCTTACATAGATTACAACATATTTCACAGTGTAGATTATATTTTATCTACAACATCAAATATCTAACAACATTAAAACTATACATATAGCGACAAAACAGAACATCAGATAAATATAATGCAAATTGTCAATTTCAAGCAGTTAACATGCGGATGAATACATTACAGTTTAAAAATTCCGCAAAATGTCACGTAAATGTACAAGACAGATTGGACGAGATAGAAAAATCTAGCATGGGGATATCTCTGTCTGAGGTGCATGAAAACATTATCCTGGTGTTCCAAACTGACCATGTTCTGCAGAGATAAAATATTGCTGTATCGCAATATATTATATTTCAAAACCTTGCAAATTAGTACAAATTTTAACAGATATGTCAATAAGCATGAAGCAGGCTTTTAATAGTTCAAATTTTGTAAACGATAGTTGGTTGGACAAAAATCTTAAATCTATTTAATCGATATATCATATATGATTAAGTTTGATTACATTCTGACAACAACTTCTTAAAAAATTGACCACATCCTTCTTATGACAATATATCAGCTTCTTTCATTGATCAAGATTTCCTTTTTTAGATGCAAAGATCATGAGCTCAAGGCTTATCTATGATGTCATCCATGAAAACAAAACTTGGAACAAAATAAGAATATAAATGGCTTATGAAGCTAATTATCTCCTTCTCTCATTCTGTGATAAAAACTCATAAAACTTTCTGCTGTACTGAGATGTAACTAGTTAGCCCCGTGTTAGGGACGGTGATTTTAATCAGGACAAAAGGCGTGGAGGCAGTCCCCCGTGCCAGAACTGGGTGTAATCAGGGACAACCTTGGACCTACAAATACCATGTTACTGTATTTACACAGATCTTAATGGGGCTTTGTTATGTTACAGTTAAACAATCTAATCCCAAGTGAACAATGACCCAGGTGTAATAAAGTCATCAATCACAGGGACTTGCAAACAGGTCAGGTCGATTGTCACATCCTTGTTAGTGTTGTATGTATATATATAAAGCGACCATGACCCCTGTGTAATCTTTATAAGGTCATCATTAGGCATATTGGTCCACAGATTAGCACTATTTGTGTACAATATAATCAGGCAAACTCCAACAACAATACCGCTCCTAATGCAAATGGATAAGTTGCTCCTGTGCCACATATAAAAGCCATATTGTTTTCCTTACAATCCTTTACTTTTGTTTTAAAAAGAGTGTTAGACTACCAAAAGGTAAATACAATACATTAAATTTCACACGGACAACCAAGTCCAATACAGTTATCAGCCCTTGTCTACCAGCACAACAGGGTGAAATGCTCTGAACCTCAAAACTGACTTGCATTGGGCTGGTACATACATCCCATACAAAACTTGGAACATTTACATATTGCAGAACATCAACACTTTACCTGGTTCTTTCAAGCAGAAAGACTTTACTTTTATCAAAACATGCACGATTACACGACAACACAACTTTGTTTGCACATCACTATATTGTTAAAGAACGCTTCAAACAATACAGTGGTATTAAATTTCTGTGAAAAAATCTGATGTGCTTTACAGACAAAACATTCAGAAACGTGAATTCGGTTAATATTGCATAACTGAGCTATAATGATTCGCGTTCAAGGACACGTCTTTGGCACCTGGTAATGAAGTGAGAGTTAAGCCCAACGGTCAATGTCAACACATCATAGTCTAAGGCTATAAGAGGCTACTTATATTTTTTCTGTCAGTACAATTGTATGTTGTACATTATGGTGTATTCTCCCGTGCCGGTGGAGTATTAAGTCTGGGCACAGCTGCTGTTATCATTCACTGCAAACATCAACACGACACCTCCAAGGCCATGTCTGCTGATTAACATCAATGTTCACTACTTATACAAAGCTTGTATTTATTACCAATGGCCACTGGCCAATGGGTTCAAGCAGAAAAACCTGGTGATATATATAAATTTCATTTATTTTACAACAACTGTGAAACAAGTTATTACAACTTATAACAATCACTCTAGTTGGCCCAGATGAAAACCCAAATGGTCAGGCAGGTGACCCCATACCTTTTTACGACTGATCAGGAAATCAAACCCTGGCCACTTTGGTTAAAGGAGAGAGTGTTATACACCTGGTAATATTTTGTTCTGGACATCAGAACACTTTATTGTGAAACATCTTTTTCGCCACATGGATTCAGTTAGCCAGGGCTTTCAGATTTGACACATGATCAATGTGAGAACTGGATTACTTTGTGTTGGGGGCTAATTTGATGGTAAACAACTAATTACAGATAAAAATAAACCAATTTCTTTGCTGAAAGTATAATTTATCCACTGATGACCAAAGAAGTGAAATTAAGTCACTATCAACTGGTCTTTAACATACAACTGTGTACGCCTGACCACAGCTAATCCTGACTGTTGAATATCTGATACCTGACATAGATGGAAACTTAAGAACTCTAGGCGGTGCAAAGGACCCCTGCTTAGTGATACAGCAGACTTCTGATAGTATGCACAGCTACAGTCAGACAGCTGTGCACAAACTGGGAAATTAGCGTGTCCTACTGGCATATTTACCTCCATACTGTTATAAGGCTACCAGTACTTTTTCTCTTCAGAATTTGCTGGACATATGATCAGCTCCCTTGCATTTGTCTGACCAGATCAATATTTATTGGATGAAATTTTTCCTACCTTTTCCCAAGAATTTAAACGGGCAATACTTTTTTCCTTTGCTTTGTTGCTGTGAAGTTGTTCATAAGGCTTTTTATTTATGAGTGAAGAACTTTTACCAGGGTAAAGGTGGAGAAGAAAAATGATTTCATCTACTCACTGTAAGTTCAGTAGAAACACAGATTTCTGGA